GTCAAAGATGAGGTAGTTGAGTATGTCTGGAGTTGTTTCTGCATCTTCTAATCTATTCCACTGATCCTCGGGTCTGTTTCTTTGCCAGTACCATGCTTTTTATCATGGTGGCTTTGTAGTATAGTTTCAGGTTGGGGATTGTGATAGCCCCTGCCATGTCTCTGTTGCCTAGCACTGTTTTTGCCATTCTAGGTCTCTTCTTGTTCCAAATGAATTTTTGGATTTTTTTCTCTAGTTCCATGAAATATACTGTGGGATTTCAATCGGGATTGGATTGAATCTGTATAGGAGTTTTGGAAGTATGGCCATTTTCACTATACTTATTCTTCCTACCCAGGAACAAGGGATGTCTTTTCCATTTTCTTTTATCCTCTTTGATCTCTGTTTTTGGAGTGTTGTAATTCTCAATGTAGAGGTCTTTTGCTTCCTTCTTTAGACTGATTACTAGATATTTCATTTTTTGGGATGCTATTGTGAAAGGGACTGTTTCCTTAATCTGTCTCTCAGTGAGTCTGTTATTTGTGCACAAGAAGGCTGATTTTTGAGTGTTTACCTTGTATCCAGCTACTCTACTGAATCTGTCAATTAAGTCTAGAAGTCTTTTGGTGGAGGTTTTTGGGTCTTCTATGTAGAGTATCATATTGTCGGCAAAAAGTGACAGTTTAACTTCTTCCTTTCCTATCTTTATTGGTTTTATTTCTTTCTCTTGTCTAATTGCTGTGGCTAATGTTTCCAAAAATATTGAACAGGAGTGGTGACAGCAGACATCCTTGTCTTATACCCGAGTTTCAGTGTGAAGGTTTTCTTGACATTCTTTTTCACCTGTCCCCTGGGCCACTTCTCTTTCCTTCTCCCTCCCTCACCATGCCCGTGGGTTCCTTTGCTGATTTTTCCCTACCTTCTTGACCTGTACATATTGTTGGTCAAGGAACAATCCTTGGAGATCAGTCCTCACACCTCTGTTCTCTCTACACAACTCTTAGCAGTTCCATAGCCTAAGACAGCAATGGTAAATATTTTAGAGCTTTCAATGATAGAAACAATCCACTGTAGCACATGTACCATAGGTTAGCCACCACTGGCCTAAAACATCTTCTCCACGGTATGGATATTTATTTTTCTTTCTAGCCTTAACTCCTCTCATTTCCAACTTGAACTTCAACTGCTTACTTGAGATTTCTTTTGCCCATAGAATAAAACTATAAGCATATATGTCCATTAAGTTTTAGAAATTCTTCTTTTAGCACTGCAAATGTAGAGTATTTAAACAGATTACATTAACTAAGGATTAGCAAATCAGGAATAAAACAAATATGGCCAATTTACTACAAATAAGTGTCAATGGAATTATCAAAGATGACTTACACTTCTGAGTCAGGGACTTTGGAAGAACATAAGATGTTAAGTGAGATGTTCTGAATAAG